TTATTATTTAGTAATTTAGTAATAGGCATATATATATATATATATATATCTTTACACACACACTACACTTTTTTTTTGTGACATGAAAATTATTTATGGGGAAAGCTTCTAGCCCCTCTGGCTCTCCCCCTGTGCTAAGTACAAAAAAAAAAAAACTTGTTAAAAAACACAAATGTCATCAGGATAAACATTCAGTGGAGGGTTTTAAGATTTTATTAGAATTGCACATAAGCCCATCTTCTTTTTTCTTCAACACCAATGCTTTTCTTACCCAAGAACTACATAGAATTTATTACCATATTTCCATGTTCCAAGTGCATGGTTTAACATTTAAACTAATTTTCCACATTCTTTGAAATGGTCCAGATAGGTTATTTGGACAGCAGACAGGTGCCTGAAGATTGGATAATCTAATTTCTAAAGGGGGAGATGGATGTTGTCCAAAAATTTAGGCCAGGTAGTCTTACTTTAGTAGTTAGAAAGTTTTAGTGAAAGTGCTTTGCAATATTATTTGATGAAATTCAGAATTTTATCAAAAAATCAATATTACTTTATAAATGGAAAATCCTTCTTTTCCAAGCAAAAACGTTTTTTGACGGTGCTACCTTATATCTTGATGAGGTAAAGGAGTGGATGTGGCTTACTTGAATTTTTGTAAAGCTTTTGTTTAGGTACCTCATAAGAGATTGAGGAAAAAATTATCTCTGTCAGAGTAGGAGAAAGTTGAATAAATGGATTTAAAAGTGGATGGATAAAGGAAACAATGTTGTTATTAATGGAGCATACAAATGAAATTGTTCCATGAATATTCCTCATTTACATTAATTACATTAATAACGGTGTAGTTTGGAAATAAGTTTGTTTTATAAATCTCAAGTCCGACAGACTGTTACGTTTATTGTAGCTTGACAATTAATCGATGTAATAGATTACCTATGAACATTGATTACGTTAATATTGCCATAAATAATTGATTAACCAAAATTAGGATAATATACAACTGTGGGTTTCTGTTAACTGTTTTCAATTATTTCAACTATCTAATAATCAAAATTATTATTAAATAAATTGATGTCATGAAAGTAATCAACTAGTTAAAATTATTGTTTCTGGTTATTACTGTTTTTGATTATTCCAACTACCCAGTAATCAAAATATTGCCATTAGGTGCTTTCATTATTATTTTTGGTTAATTCAAGTTTGCTCAGTTTAAATGTTTAGTGCAATGACTCACAAAAATACATAATCAAAATTAGGGTTTCCAGTTCTTACTATTTTCAATTATTCCAACTATCCAAGTAATCAAAATATTGCCATTATATTAGTAGATTGGTAAGCACAAAGCTGCACAATGGGCCATCTCTGCTGACTGTAGGTATCAAAACTAAATTTTTAGCATTATATTTTCACTTATTTTGTGAGAATAATCAGTTAACCCTTCATATCTGGGCCTGGTTTTTTTGCACATATCATGACCTTTTACAGTGTTACATTGAGAATTTAATTAAACAACTTTATTATTAATGTATACCAATGTATTTTGCATAAAAAATAGTTTATAATTTAAATTTGTATGTGTATAAATTTTAACTTCTTAATTTAAAAAGAAATACTTAAAAAACTCAATCTTTATTTTTCTGTACTGTGTGATATGTCTGAATTCCAATTTCTCTCTTTCATAAAAATAGGTTGCTGCAGTTTCCAAATCAATTAGAAACACAAAATACTGTGAAATCTCATTAATCTGAACACACTTGTAATGAAGTATTTCTTCCAGATTATTAAGACATCTGGATAGTTGAATCAGTAATTTTTAATATAGTGGGCACTATTAATAATGTGTTATCAATCTATAACTCGAAGAGTGGGCATGCATTTGGTGAACAAAAAAGTAACTGTATGTATAATAAGCTTAGCAGGTTATGATTGTATATGTCATCAGTAATCATTCAAGCA